AGGCTTTATATAAATGTGCTTCTCCTACAGACAGTCTGGTAGGAAGGGATGGGGGTATGAGGGGTGGGGACTGACAACAAACAGAACCATGGGGGTAAGCCTAGGCTTTATATAAATGTGCTTCTCCTACAGACAGTCTGGTAGGGGTGGGGACTGACAACAAACAGAACCATGGGGGTAAGCCTAGGCTTTATATAAATGTGCTTCTCATAAAGACAGTCTGGTAGGGGTGGGGACTGACAACAAACAGAACCATGGGGGTAAGCCTAGGCTTTATATAAATGTGCTTCTCCTACAGACAGTCTGGTAGGAAGGGATGGGGGTATGAGGGGTGGGGACTGACAACAAACAGAACCATGGGGGTAAGCCTAGGCTTTATATAAATGTGCTTCTCATACAGACAGTCTGGTAGGGGTGGGGACTGACAACAAACAGAACCATGGGGGTAAGCCTAGGCTTTATATAAATGTGCTTCTCCTACAGACAGTCTGGTAGGAAGGGATGGGGGTATGAGGGGTGGGGACTGACAACAAACAGAACCATGGGGGTAAGCCTAGGCTTTATATAAATGTGCTTCTCATACAGACAGTCTGGTAGGGGTGGGGACTGACAACAAACAGAACCATGGGGGTAAGCCTAGGCTTTATATAAATGTGCTTCTCATAAAGACAGTCTGGTAGGGGTGGGGACTGACAACAAACAGAACCATGGGGGTAAGCCTGGGCTATATATAAATGTGCTTCTCATACAGACAATCTGGTAGGGGTGGGGGTATGAGGGGTGGGGACTGACAACAAACAGAACCATATGGTAGTAAAAGGGGGAAGGCAATGATAACAAATAGAACAATGGGGGTAGGGGAGGGAAAGTTGGGAGGGCAATGATATCGAACAGAACCATGGGGTTAGGTGAGCGAAAGTTGGGAGGGCAATGATAACAAACAGCACCATGGGGATAGGGGAGGGAAAGTTGGGATGGCAATGATAACAAACAGAGCTATGGGAGTAAGCCTGGGCTTTATATAAATGTGCTTCTCATACATACAATCTGGTAGGAAGGGATGGGGGTATGAAGGGTGGGGACTGACAACAAACAGAACCCTGGGGGTAGGGGAGGGAAAGTTGGGAGGGCAATGACAACAAACAGAACAATGGGGGTAGGGGAGGGAAAGTTGGGAGGGCAATGACAACAAACAGAACAATGGGGGTAGGGGAGGGAAAGTTGGGAGGGCCATGACAACAAACAGAACCATGGGGGTAGGGGAAGGAAAGTTGGGAGGGCAATGACAACAAACAGAACCATGGGGGTAGGGGAGGGAAAGTTGGGAGGGCAATGACAACAAACAGAGCCATGGGGGTAGGGGAGGGAATGTTGGGAGGGCAATGACAACAAACAGAACCATTGAGGACAAGGGCAGGGACAGTAAAAAGAAAAGTAGAAAGTAAAATAAGTGGTCAGGCATCAGTTACAAACAGGAACATGAGGGAAAGCTTAGGGCTTATTGTCGTGGATATGTTGTGTACAATTCTGATGTAAAATGTGGGTGAGAGGCATCACAGACAGGACTATAAAGACCAATATTACATTACAAAGTTGATGCTATCCTCTGTTGAAATTCACACTATAGCCAGACAATATGTAATGATTATTTACTCTTAAATATTTTTCATATAATACTTCAAATTTACTGTAGTGTGAATCAGTGTGTGATCTATAGTTACTGGGAGATAGACCAGCTGTCACTGAGGGTCATACTTCAGGTGTGTTAGCTGTCTGTATCACACAATATGCAGAGAGTGCAACATGTGTGAACTGTACATATATATACCAGAAATAGCTACAAGACAATAACATGTACAAAAACTGAAACTATGTTATGGCTGTGCAATCACACAATACGATACAGTTTTTTTGTTTGAATTAACAATATTGTAATGCCACTTTGTGTTAAATATCACTGTGTAATGTTTACATTGTCTATTTGTAAGTAAAAACTTTCATTAGACAGGTTTTATTTGATATATTAAAGGCCTTCGTTTACAAACTTGTCTCCCAACTACGATGTATTATAGACTACCCTTCCCAGGTGTCTGATAAGAAATATCAAAATTATTATCACAAAGGTAATTAATATAAGCTACAGGTGCTTATTTAAACAAACAATCTGAGACCACCATTTGGCGTTTGGGTATGTATGAATAAAAGAGTTACTCTCACAATCTTCCTAGACCTCCTTCCTCAGATCTGATACAAAATTTGATTTCAGTAAACCCCTTCCTGATAGTAGGATAACACTATAATGAACAAAACGTGATTTCAGTTAACCCTTTACTGACGGTAGGATGACACTGTAATGAACAAGATGATTTCAGTTAACCCTTTACTGACAGTAGGATGACACTATAATGAACAAGATGATTTCAGTTAACCCTTTACTGACAGTAGGATGACACTATAATGAACAAGATGATTTCAGTTAACCCTTTACTGACAGTAGGATGACACTGTAATGAACAAGATGATTTCAGTTAACCCCTTACTGACAGTAGGATGACACTATAATGAACAAGATGATTTCAGTTAACCCTTTACTGACAGTAGGATGACACTATAATGAACAAGATGATTTCAGTTAACCCCTTACTGACAGTAGGATGACACTATAATGAACAAGATGATTTCAGTTAACCCTTTACTGACAGTAGGATGACACTATAATGAACAAGATGATTTCAGTTAACCCTTTACTGACAGTAGGATGACACTATAATGAACAAGATGATTTCAGTTAACCTTTTACTGACAGTAGGATGACACTGTAATGAACAAGATGATTTCAGTTAACCCTTTACTGACAGTAGGATGACACTGTAATGAACAAGATGATTTCAGTTAACCCTTTACTGACAGTAGGATGACACTATAATGAACAAGATGATTTCAGTTATGACGGTAGGATAACACTATAATGAACAAAATGCTATGGAAAACCTGTTTGCGCTGTTGATCTTGACAGTATTGTTTGGATAAATTGAGTGAAATATGGTTAAGAATTAATTAAAGTTCATTTGTCATGCAATATTTGATTTCCTACTGCTTCAAAATAAATATTCATTTATCTCACTTGGGGATTTTCTGTACCACAAGATGGACTACAAGGTTAGTTGTATTGGGTGATCAAGATCATTTTAAGTTTTCTTTTATTGATATCTGAGTGCTTTCCATTTTCTGCTGTATGAATGTAATAATACTGTTCAAATATGATGAATCCTGGGTTTACGGTTTCCAAGAAGATACTGATATTAAAAACAGAGGATAGACAAGGATATTACATAGATGTACCACCAACAGGTCTCACAACAAAGTGCCAATAACAGGTTTGACAAAAGATAGTCAAACATTCTGGAATCTTGTCTCAATGTACCCTTTAAAGAAGTCGGGGAAAAAATTTTACTTGAGTAGTAGGAATTTCAAAAATATTTCCTTGTGAAAATTTTCAAGGGAAATTAATCTTTTGTTGCATAAATAATAATTTTTTATTTTTTTTTTCAGCAAATAAAAAACCAACAGAGATTGAGTACTCCATCTAAAACATGATATGCCTGGAACACAGGATTTGGTGGGTCAGTGAGTTTCCTGTATCACATCGAGATCTCTTTGTCCCCATCCTGACAAACTCTGCCAAGGGAGCTATTATAACCAATACGACATCCTGTGACAACTATTGATTTCTGACCGTCATACAATGATGTAGATCACAGTGAACCCAATACCATTGTACTTATATTTTATTTATGAGTTTACAAACATGAAGATTAACAGATTTCTATATCAAAGTTTGACACCCATCATTGTTTTTATTCCAATATTACATGAAGAGGTGTAATTAGTGACGTTTCTGTCTAAAGAGGAATGTACCACCAAGAACATTTATATCAAAGCAGTTTCTATGGTGATAAAATGGGGTTCTAGTGACAATATATTGGCATTCAGTTAAATAGTGCCTCACACATACAATATATAAAAGGTATATAATGGTAGTAGAGACAATAAGTAAATGGTATGATTTTTATCATGTTACTACCCAAAGAATATTAACATTACAGTAAGTAAATGGTATGATTTTTATCATGTTACTACCCAAAGAATATTAACATTACAGTATAAGACATAAATTCATTTCGTTATGGAAATACTTGTATAATTTTCTTTATTTCTTGGAGGTTGGATTTCCATCACAATGTGGGGACAGGATTTTTTGATGTCATGGGTACAGCATTTTTTATATCAAAGGGAAAGGATTTTCAATACAATTTGGAGGATTCCTGACCTTGTTACATTGTAGGGAAAGAATTTTTTTGATATATCATGAAGATTTTTTTTATAATGAGGAGGATCTTGATACTTTGTGAAGATAGAATGTCTATCATATTTTATTTTGGGGATGGGATTTTCAGTGGGGATATGTTATTATTTTAATTGTGAGAATAGGATTTTCAGAACAATATGGGATGACCTAACTTTTGTGATATTACATTCTAGCCTTATAATTTTAATCATAATGTGCCAGAGATTGAATATAATTGATTGGTACCAAAATCTCTAAGCCTTTTGAAGAAATATCAGTTGACGTTAATCATGATTCACAGAATGAAAATCTATTATCATATTACACCAAGAGAATATATCTTTATGTGGTGCATTTACCAATTACAAATGAAACAATACTTTAATAAACTCTGTATCACTTGAAACAAGACTTTTACGATCTTAATATATCTTAACACAGGCATCAAATCTTTACTAACACAATTAACTCCAAATAAAACAAAATATAAAAATCAAATTAAATTATAACGCAGATCTATTCTAGGCTTGTTCAGGATTTCATAGTGTACTAATGTTGTATTGACACCTCTACAGCGGGAAGATATAATTTATTGATTAGACAAAATGTAACATATGATGACATATATTTTGTATATGTAATTCCATATGACAGGTGTCTAGATCAGGTTCCCACTGTTAAATGACTGACACTTAACACAGTGATAATGGGGTGATAGTGTTACTATAAAAGAAGACTACACATTTACCATTACTGTTCTAATCCAGACATTTATTTGAAAATAATCAACCATTCACAAGAAGATCAAGTCTCTAAAGAGGATCAGGAGAATCAGAGATAACTAATGAATACAACCCAAAGCAGAGGTATTGACCTGAAACCAATATGGTATAGAATGCCTGACTTATCCCGTCCTTAGCTCCATCTAGTGGCTGTGGCTATCTTCACTCTTGATGATCCCAAATACATCATGACATGATAAATGGCTAACTGGCCATTACCACATAAACTTTCTCACACTTCACCTGACCTGCACTAAGTAGCTGACTGCCTGGGTGACTAAAAGCATTTAGGATATTATGTGTAAAAGAACAAACATTTGATAGACCAAGACAATTCCTGGTCACTTCATGACAATATAAACTGTTTGGCAGTTAAAAGAACAAACATTTGATAGACCAAGACAATTCCTGGTCACTTCATGACAATATAAACTGTTTGGCAGTTAAAAGAACAAACATTTGATAGACCAAGACAATTCCTGGTCACTTCATGACAATATAAACTGTTTGGCAGTTAAAAGAACAAACATTTTGATAGACCAAGACAATTCCTGGTCACTTCATGACAATATAAACTGTTTGGCAGTTAAAAGAACAAACATTTGATAGACCAAGACAATTCCATGTCACCTGATGATAATTACTTATTTGGCCAAAGTATTGAAACACTCAAAGTTAGGCCTGCCTTGAGAAAATGTCAATACATGTATATCTATTACAAAGGTCAGAGGTTAAATAAGTCATCATCATCATCAAGCAATATTGTAAACGTTTCATTTGCATTTATTATAACAAGGTAAAGCTATGACAAAAGTCAATATAAAGGTCACCAGAGGTCATAGGTCAAACCATTCTTCTATTTCAATGATTATCTTAATTTTCATTTGCACATTTTATTTCATTGTAAAGTAGCCTATAGTTAGACTCAGTTTTCAGTAGCACATGAGTCATCGATATCAAACTTTAAACTTGTTAAAAATATTTTAAATTCTCCATGTAGCTTCTACTAATGTTTTTGTCTGCTTTCCTCAGAAATACTAGTACCCTGATGCAAATTCACGGAGACTGTTGCTGGGAAGACTACAAACTAACATTTACTCCACATTTACAGGCTACGTAGCAAATCTCTCTAGAGTTGGCTTCTTAAAGCTACCAAAAAAGCAAACTCTAGCGAGATTGCCATGTCATCAAGAGAGATTCCTTATAGTAGAGGTTGACCATTGTAAATATGCTGGAAAGTAAAGTTGTCGAGGGGAAATGAATGGACATATTTAATTTACAATATTTAAATACTTTGACACATATGCAAGATTGTAGACAACATTTTTTTTATCTTTCCATCAATGTATAACTATTGCTCTGTTGTGAACTATATAAAATTACATGAATGTCACTTAAATTTGATGTTTTTATAGACTATAGAGAGGAATTGACTACCAACAGTGACTAACACAAAAGCAAGCAAATATTTTTAAAAAATAATTAAAGATTTAAAAAAAAACAGATTGGCCAACCTTAAATTTTTCAGGCAGAAACTACTAAAAAACAGGGTTGGTTTTTTTTTCCTAACCTGTGTAGCAGTATAAACACAAGATCACCACAGCAACTCTAAACATGTATCAACCATATGCTGAAAAAATGTTGTAAATATCCCTGGAGGTACTCAGCTTTCTGCCTTTGTTCACATCTAGAAAATTGATTACTTTTTTTCTGTCCAGTCCTAATCAGCTAATTATACCTACACAAGCACACTTACTGATGATTGCTTTGAATGACATATTTTTATCAAATATAGGCCGTGTTGTCCTATATCTAGTGTTGACAAGAGGTCACAGCATGACTTTGATACAATTTGGATTTTCCTACATGTTTGTGGCCTTTAGCTAGACCAAAGCAACAATGAATGACCTGTTTCCTCTTACATATTTTGTCTCCACACTGACGTTTCAATCCAAGGTTTCTGTTTGTTCTCGTAGATGGTCAAGTTGAGGTTGTTGCTATGTAGAAACATTAAAGTGTTAAAATACACATTTAAAGCCATGTTGATTTTATAGATCTTTGCCGGAGTATACAGACACCTGTCATAAACATCCAACACTCTCACAGATCTAACATCCCAGACTCTCACGCTCACGGATCTAACAGACTCTCACGGATCTTACATCCACGACTCTCACGGATCTTACATCCACGACTCTCACGGATCTAACATCCACGACTCTCACGGATCTAACATCCCAGACTCTCACGGATCTAACATCCCAGACTCTCACGGATCTAACATCCATGACTCTCACGGATCTAACATCCATGACTCTCACGGATCTAACATCCCAGACTCTCACGGATCTAACATCCATGACTCTCACGGATCTAACATCCCACTCTCACGGATCTAACATCCACGACTCTCACGGATCTAACATCCACGACTCTCACGGATCTAACATCCACGACTCTCATGGATCTAACATCCACGACTCTCACGGATCTAACAACCACGACTCTCACGGATCTAACATCCCAGACTCTCACGGATCTAACATCCACGACTCTCACGGATCTAACATCCACGACTCTCACGGATCTAACATCCTCCATTGTATGATCCACATTAGATCCTTGGATCATTACTCCTTGTTTTTTCATCCCTTCAAGAATTAAATAAATATAACTAGGGTCTGAGGGCAGCAGAAAAATAGGAAATTCCAGAAAGCATTCCTTACTTCTCAAGGAAAACTGATCCCAATTTTTATCTTCCAAAATCCTATATGGTCAACAACTTGTCATTTTAAGGCTGTTTTATTTTTGATCCATAAAAATAGCAACAACAATAGGATCCAAAACATGTATCACCACCTGTCAGCCATTTTGTTGTTTTTGATCAGTCCAAAGATCTACACAACCAGGAACAGAATGATGTCTATATATGGGATATGAAAATGATACATCCAGTACTATTTAATATCAAACTTAAACACACAAAATCCTATTTGACTGTGTGTAAGCCATTTGCTTTTTTCAGTCGGTCAAAATTAGATATAAATGACTACACACGAAGGAAAGTTAAAAAAAAAAAGAAAAATTTGAGTGAAATGGATCAATTACTAATTTTAAAATGGTAATAAATTTCAACTTTCAAAATTCAATATGGCCTCCTGTCAACCATTTTGTTTTTACTTTACTTGAAGTCCATCGAAAATTGAGCAGGCACAACCAGGGTCCACGGGGAGTCAACACATGACACTTAAGAAAAGACAAAAATGGCTAGGGACAAACAGTTTATAGACAAAGGCTATTTGATAATATATCCCACCACCTGTTAATGGTGACCTAAATACATACCAGACTGGTGTCATAAAAACGCCCAATGAAAACAACACCATGAAAATATAGTAATAAGACCAAGAACATGTCATATCAAAATGTCTTCAAATAATATCATGAAACTCTCACAAACACCAGAAATATGAGAAAAATTAAAACTACCAGAACATTTTATTCCATTAAGATACATCCTTTAACCCTTTACAAACAATACAGCTACATTTAATGCAAACAATGTGATCCTTTCTAGAAAATAAAGAAAATTACAAATCATCTACCAGCAAAAAGAAATACATTTAAGTCCTTCATTATATTTCCAAACCATGAATTGAAGTTGTCCTTCACAATAAAAGCAGTTTCCAGTATCTGAGACAAAGGAGTAGCTAGTGTTATAACTGGTGATAGAGGTCTCTTCCACAGTGACAAATGCTCTATCATCTATAGCAACCTGTATCACATGCTCTGTGTTCATACCATATTCCAACTGTACAAACTTGCTGTGAGGCATTCTAATAAAGCTTATAGAGTGTATAGAAATGCAACTGTACCAATTTACTGTCCACCAACTTAAAACGCTTATTTATTTTATTACAGTTAAAAGTCTGCAGAACTCCATGTCATATTTGTTTTACTACTATGATCATATCCATCATATTGATTTTATTTGTGCAGCAAACATTAACATCAACCTCGGGACAAGCCTTACTGGTTTGCACGAAATGATGACAGTTGATAAACACCATATTTCAATACAGCATGCTGTGTCATCATAGCTGTGACAATCTCGTTAATTTCTGGCATGAAAAATGAACAATAGTGTTAACCAATTACAATGTATGATAAACTTTGATTGATGTAAACAGAAAATGCCAAACAGATTTTTTCTTTTCCATTTCTTTTTCTTGCAAACTTGATTCTAATTGTCAGAATATGAGATAAAATTATACGAAGTGTTCAGTTTTATGTCATTCTATTTCTCATTAGACTGAAGGTTTTTCAAAGAGCTGAATAGGAACCACATTAACTTTCTTAAGTGAAGGTAAATACAGTCATGTGATCTGTAGAATAGTTAAAACAGTCATGTGATCTGTAGAATAGTAAATACAGTCATGTGATCTGTAGAATAGTACATACAGTCATGTGATCCGTAGAATAGTAAATACAGTCATGTGATCTGTAGAATAGTACATACAGTCATGTGATCCGTAGAATAGTAAATACAGTCATGTGATCTGTAGAATATAAAATAGTCATGTGACCTGTAGAATAGTAAATACAGTCATGTGATCTGTAGAATAGTTAAAACAGTCATGTGATCTGTAGAATAGTAAATACAGTCATGTGATCTGTAGAATAGTACATACAGTCATGTGATCTGTAGAATAGTACATACAGTCATGTGATCCGTAGAATAGTAAATACAGTCATGTGATCTGTAGAATATAAAATAGTCATGTGACCTGTAGAATAGTAAATACAGTCATGTGATCTGTAGAATAGTTAAAACAGTCATGTGATCTGTAGAATAGTAAATACAGTCATGTGATCT